AGAGGGCTCAAGCATGAGAATAAAGAGTTGCACATTTGCAAATAATTACTCGACGAGCATGAAGAGAAAGCTCGACCAACTGCAGGAATCCGAAAGTCGAATTCAAAGTGACATTCAGATGTTTGTGGCTTTATTTCAAAGCCATTGCCTCCACCGTCTGGAGTTCTACTGAGTACCAAGGTTTCAAATGATTAACCTCCGATGCCTCTTCCTTATAGAGTTTCGCCAAGTACTAAGGCTTCACATGATCAATCTCCCCATTTTCGGGTTCTGCCAAGTACTGAGGCTTCACATAAGCAACCCTTGTGAAAGCTCATTTTTTTATTGTTGTAGTTGTAATTCATGTGTATGCACGCGTATGTATAGAAAAACTTCATCTCTTCGGGTTTTACACATTTCTGAAACTTCTAGTTCAGTTTGTTAGATATAGGAAAGTATGGAAACTTCTAGTTCCATTAATATGAATCAATGAAGAAACAATGGAAACTTCTGGTTCCATGAATATGATTCAATGAGCTTTTAAACAAAGACTTTTTTCTAACATCATCTGCTTTCACATGAATTCTCAGGCATTATAAATTCATGAAAGTATTTCTTGTATAAAATGTTGATGGTAACGAAATCGAGCTTTGCTAAGTTCACCATTTTCTTATTCCCAAAATGAAGAAATTCAGGTATGATGGAACTTGCGATAATTAACTCATACCATATAAACACATGTCCAAACAAAAGTGTTAGAACTTCAAGTTCTTAACAGTATTTATATTTTGAACTTCAAGTCAAAACATTATACATATGTACTCGAAATTTATTCTCGAGATCGAAATCATTAGACCTTTCAAATTCATATTTTTTTGGAATTCATGCCGTACGTAATGGATTAAGGAACTTATGGTCCTCATTTACATGAATCAATGAACTTCTGGCCCTTATTTAATAATATGTGGACTGAGGTGCTTTTGGCCGTCACTTTAATTTAGTTGAGGAAACGTTATTCTCTCAATTGATTAAAAAAACTTCAGGTTTTTATTTTAATCAAGGAACTTCGGGTTCGATCTTTTTATATGATGAGGATCAAGGAACTTCATATCCGATTTTATTATGTGATGGAACTTCAGGTCTAATCATTTAATATGATGGAACTTCAGGTCCAATCATTTTATATGATGATGATCAAGAAACTTTTGGTTCTAATTTGATCAAGGAACTTCGAGTCCTGCATATACTTATCATAACAAAATGTAGTACAATAAGTAAATTAAAGTATAGGGCGGTAATTCCAACCACTACAAATCAATTGCTTTAAATAAGTAATTATTGTGACAAAGGCTTTAAGTTAGAACCATTGATATAAATATCAAAAGATAATAATTGTTATTATAAGAAGGGCGACAGTGCTGCACCATTCACTTATATAGTAATGAATAAGGGCGATTATTCCACACCAATCACATTAATAACAAGATTAATAATGATAAGGAGAAAGTATATATTAACTTACTATGCTTCCAATTCTTCCTCTTTTGTCAACACTTTAGTACGTCCAATTTTTCTTTTCTTTTTCCTTAGATTCATGGCACCATGATTTCCACCTTTTGAATTTTGAATAAATGAGACATGGTGAGATTTTTGTACAAGCCTTAAGCCACTGACTTTTGTGCAAACCTGCACAACCTAACTTTGAATCAATTATTTTCTTTTCACATGCCATTCATCGCCAATAATAATAGTTATATAATCATATGTATGTTTACTTTAAGAAAATTAGTCATACATAAGTATGAAGATAAAGTAAAGGGATCTTCTTATCAATGAGATTCTAGCCGACAGAGGTGAGAGGTAGGTAGTGCTTCATTGGGTTTATGGCGTTGTGTTTTTCACTGACATGAGAGCTTTTCGGGTTAATAACGTGTTGTAAAATTGAGGATATATGTGCAGTGGAACATAAAGTAAATAAGACACAATATTTACAAGGTTCGGCAAGTGTGTCTACATGCTCAAGGCAGCAATAGTATTTTCTTTCATTATCTGAAATAATAGGAGTACAATGATAACTCTCACTATTTTCTATTTCTGGCCCAGCTCACTGGTAATTTCTTTTGATCTCTCTTCTTTCCTCTTCTCTTCACTCTTTCTTTGATGTTGAATTTTATGTTTACAATGAACGAATGAACCTCCTTTTATAGAGTTTTTCATCCGACAAAATAATGTAGCAACACTATTCACTTTACAATATTTCTTCAAATAAATAGTGCATAAATAGTAATCCATTTAATTTTTCTTCAGATAAATAGTAAAGAACTGCTCAGGTGGGCCATCAACATATTACATTACAACATAATAGAAGTTGGAAAAAAATGAGTGAATGGGGACGGGGAAGTGAGAGAGGAATGTAGGGCCCGCAATTTTTAAGGTATCCCCTACGAATTTTAATTCTTTATGTGCAAGTAAATGCAGTAAAGTCATGATTTGAACACATTTTATTTCTTTTTTATTCTCATTATTGATAAGGAAACGAGTCCTAAACCCCGAGTTGTGGAGTAATCAAAGCCCAGATTACGGTAGATTTTTGGGTGAAAAATGTCATTGTAGCAGAAGCTAGTATGATGGCATGGGCAAAGCCACATACACTCTGTCACATAACAGACCCAGTCCGAATAGTAAGATATTGTCCTCTTTGGGCCACACCCTCACGGATTTGTTCTTGAGCTTCCACCCAAAATGCGTCTCACTATAGGGAGGTGGGAATGTACATATAAGGCACATTACCTCCTCTTCCCCGAGCGATGTGGGATCTTACAATCCACCCCCCTTAGGGGCCTGACGTCCTCTTCGACACACTTCCAGTCGGGGAGTGGCTCTAATACCAAATTGTCACATCCCGGACCTAGTCCGTTTTAGGCCACGCCCTCACGGATTTGTTCTTGGGCTTCCACCCAAAACGTGTCTCACTATAGGGAGGTGGGCATGTACATACAAGGCACATCACCTCCTCTCCCCCGGGCGATGTGGGATCTTACATGCTCAAAGTGGTCAACCGACCCTTGTGGCCTTCTTGTGTGTTTTTCATTAGTTTATATTATATTGCATAAAAATTTATTAATTATGCACAATATGCTTGACCATCTCCAACTCTTGAGTTAAAACCTAAAATTTTTGACCCAAAAAATTTAAGTTTTGACCCAGAAACAGTTTTTCTGCTCCAACCCTTTTGGTTAAATTTTTAGTATGAGATTACAAAAGAATGAATTTAGGATAATTTTTTTCTTAAAGTAAATTTTTTTTAAATAAAAATTATGTAGACTATTCTAATTTAATTTTATGAACATTTTAACCTAAACATATTTAGATTCTGATATATATTGAAAAATCACTAAAGCGGCACTATAAAACTTGTAGAACACTACGAAAGAATATAAAGCACATGAACAAATTTTTTTCAATTATTTTAGCTGTTGGATTTAAATTTGGGCCATTAGATTTTTTTTTTTTTTTTTTTAAACCTTTGGATTTGATTGTATTAGATATTAGCCATTGGATTCAATGAATTTATAAATATGAAACTAAAAAATACACAAATATATGGTGGGCTAACCTACTAACTTGGGTGAAACTGGCCTCAATTTGCCCCAGAAATGAGTTTTGGGTTAAAACTCATATTTAGCCCAAGGGTTGGAGCAAGGTGGGATGGGTTTAGAACCTAAATTTGAGTTTTACTCTAAGGATTGGAGTAGATTCTATGACACTAAAAATTCCTAAACCCTATTTTATATTCAGATTGTCCCCAGTTTGCCCACTATTTTTGGCGCGTCCAAGACAACAAGGCTCCCTCTTTTTAATTCTTCTTTTGAATCAACTGAATGATGTAATTAAATAATCACTTAACTTTAACTTTGCAATTTTCTTTGGACAAAATACAATGAATTAGCTTATATCATCTTTCTTTCTTTTTTGTTTATATTTTCTTTAGTGGGCTGAGATTGTTTAATGTTGAAGGATTTATATTTTTATATGAGTTTTTGTTATTATAGTCTATCCTTATACTTATTTAAGATTCATCCTCTTTGAAATAATTTCTGCCTTTGTCACTATGTTTATTTACAATGAATTTAGCTATAGTGTTGCTACTAAATAGCTACTTACAAACAAATATTTCAATAACTTTTTAATAAGATTGTGATATAGTGATGGTGGCCCATATCACTTTTTAATAAAATGATCGCATTTCCTTTTTAGCCTCACACGCACATGTTTAATTTAGACTGATGTTTTTGTTTAATTTATTCAATTTGATGACAAAAATAATAAGAAGCGTGTAAGAGACTATAAGAAATGTGCGAAAATCATCTTCCTTCTGTGAGTTTTTAATTACTATAATGAATCTAAAATTTGTAAAAGAAAAGAAATTAGACTTAGCCACAAACCAAACCGGCCCAAATTAGATTGGTTTGATTTCTTTAATGACTTTTGTTAAAATTAAATTGAATAAACTTTTAATTGTTCTTTGGATTTATTTTTTTATTTATTTTTTCTTTCAAACAAATGATATTATCCTTACTAAATGATGAGAAAGTGAACTAAAACCTCACAATGGACTATCAATAATGTGGTTCAAATTTGACTTTAACGAGTCTCGAACCTAAAATTTCTCGCTTACAAGTAAAGAAAAATGCTACTAGACAGTAATATTAAATGTCTTACTATTCCTTCAAGTGTCATTCTTTGAATTGAATTAGAACAAAAGCGACAACGTGAAGTGTGTTACTATTCCTTCCAGAGTCTTTCTACTCTCCATTTATTTAATATTCCCTCACCATGACCTCTCCCGCATCCTTATCAGTCGGAAGGCAAGGCGGGACAGCCCACAACCAAGGTCGAGAATCCTTAAAGCCGTCACCTGCACAAGCTGGGACTTGTCCCTCACTGAGACTCCCTTCTCTCTCTATATTCCTACTAAATTGCATTTTCATCATAAGTTAAAACACTTTAAACTGGAAAGATAAGCAGGCATGTAACAAAATTTCATTCGTATGGAATGCTCATGGGGTTCGTACAATTACTAATAAGTTCCGTTCGGGGGAATATCAGCCACCTATAAATACAATACAACCAAAATAAATCTCAAAACTTGCATCACTCACTCATGCCCTCAATTACTTCAAAATCACTAACACCATCAAGGGCAACATCAGATTCGTCTTCCTCTTCGTTCTCTTGATCGGTTTCCATGGCTTCCTCAGATCCCTCTCCATCACTTGTATCAGACTCGTAAATAAATGGAGTGATTGTCTCGTTCTCGTCAACATCATCAATTACCTGTTCAAAAAGCTTGCATTAAATAGGTATTGAAGAATATTTCACTTGCCATAAATTTCACTAACACCGGCACCCTTACCCCTGTATAATGCACGTCCAAGACACTCGATAGCTGAAGAGCCGACTGAAAAGTTGAAACTCTGGACTCAATGAGCTGCATAGTCAATAAAAAAATTCAATGAAAGGAAAAGAACTACCATGATTTCTTACGACAAAGAGATAAAACACTCCATACTTGCAACTATCTCTTAAACAAATGAGGAAATGAAAATTCCAAAAACTAACTAGTGATACAAGAAGCGCATGAACATGTTGCTCCCGCAGGTTTAAATTTTATATTCTATGGACTAATTCTAAAATTCAAGATGGCTCTTTGTTGAACGAAACTTTTACTTTGGGATACGGGATATCATCTTATATTAAAAGTTTCTTACCTAATATAATGAGTTCAAGGCACTCAAAGAATATTCTTGGGATACTACACCACTTGCATGTTGAAGAAGTAAACTTCTAAGCCATGGAAGTGCACATGCCAAAATTGCACCCCTGGAGCAATCTAAAGTATGGTGCTATATCATCCTTTTATCATAGGAGGTTGTGGTCTTTGGTGTTGCTGGTTTGATTTTCTTACTAATTTTATGCTTGAATTTAACTGAAGGTACCAAAGGGAAATCCATATCATAATGCTCGTTTTTCGTGCAAACAGCCTAATTCTCAGAAGGTAATTGTATTAAGATAGTATTTTAATTCAACACCGTGATGCTAAGCTTTCTTTTGTTGTTATACTACACCCACATGTTTCTGAATATTATTATGCCTGACTTTGCCTGGAATAGTCGGAGGATGCTGCATTAGCTTTTTAAAAGAGTCAATTTGATCTTCTTCCCCAGGGATCCGAGGGCCCAGTATGCTGCTTAGAATTTAGTTATGGCCATACTATCATCCTTGGTGTATGATTGTAATCACCTTAGAAGATAAAACCATTATCAAATCAGAAGTTAGGCATTTAACCTGTCCTTCACAACAACCCAACAAGAGGGGACCCTCCCCAATTTTTTGTTTTGTTTTTGCTTCTCTCTTTATGTTATTCGTGTTAAGACCACAAATACTGTATTTTCCTTTAATTTGGTTCAAATTATTATTTGATTTTCTTTTTAAATGTGGTTTTTGGCAAGACTTGAATTAAGTTCTTGTGTTGGTTACGTGATTCCCAATTTAAAATTCCGTGCCTCCCTCCTTGTGCTGTTCTAGAATTTGTCTTCTCTCCTCTTTTATTCTCCTCGTTTTGAAAAATGCGAATGGGAAATTAATGGTCATCCAACTTTTTAATTTGAGGTTTCGGTTCGAAATCCAGTCAAACTTATGATCAGAAGAAACTGAAATGCCTCTATGAGTTTTTCAGCCCATAAAAGAGGTGAATAATTGTGATTTGCCATTTGTCCTCCTTTTTAAAAAGGAAAAAAAAATTAATTGGGTTGTTTGGGAAAAATATTTGAGTCTTACGTCAGACCGCCCGGTCGTGTTATTGATTTAAGTTTTATAATAGTGTCGGCGGTATGGTTTATATGTCATAAATTTAGAATATCATAACAACAAAGAAATGTAGGTAGTATAATATGATGATTGATAATATCATGTAACAAATATTTTGGGAGTTTCTAGAAGGGTCACGGATCGGTGGCATCTAGTCCTCTGTTTAATAGCTCAATTATTTCTTTGGGCGGTTATGGATTGTAGCTCAATTTTCATGCCACGTCAGTTTTTCTGCGAACCCTATATTGGTGTTGTATGTAAAATTCGTCATTTTTTCTACATTTTATAAAAATGAATAAGGTCCCTACAACCCTACCCGTGATTTGGTACATGTTCCTTGACCTGTAGGTTTGGCTCCAATGGTATGTTGACAGATGAATTAATGGTAGATTTGAGATTTGATTTTTATGGACAACGAGTTTAATACCTAATTATTATCAATTCGTCGTGTGATTTAACCTGAATCCGATGTCCCAATGTTTTGTTTTATAAAAATGATGGTAGATATGAGTTTCACCCATTTCTTTGTAAACAAAATGTGGTTAGGATTCCAGTCGGTTCAAATAATCAAATGTGTATATGTATGAGTAATTACGCATAAACTTCATTTGATTGAGAATGTATTGAGTTCATATCTCATTGAACTTGATGTCAAACAAGTGATCTTTTGCGCATTTGATGCCATTAAGTAACTTACATTATCTAAACCTAAGGCACTAATATTCTCTTGAAGCCCAAATTTGAAGATGAAATAAAAGAATTCATAGATAATACAATTCCACTTGTTGGAATAGTTGACAAGCTACAGATAAGGGAATATGTGTACCATATATATATATATGCATGTTGCTAATATTAAGAAACTTCGTGCCAAGTTCCTCTACAAACACAAGCCGTACAAGTCAAGGACAACCGACAGAACTTCCAATCTTCCAACCCTAAATATATAATGACTTGAAACATAGGCATTACACAGAGGTTCTCATATTTCATAATATTCAGTTCAATACTCGTATTGTGTTTCTTTAGTCTCTTTGCATGGCAACAATCTACATGATGTGTCCTCTAAGCACCAACGATTTGCACCGTATTTTCTAAAATCTCGACAAGAATGGAGACGGGCAAGTGAGTCTCAAGGAGCTCGATTGGCTCCTCGAGAGAATAGGCGTGCAGTTCAGCCTTCACGAGCTCGAGTCCCTCGTGGGAAAACCGAGCCTTGACATCAATGAGTTCTTGTTCTTCTACAAGTCCATATATCCATGCAGCAAGGTGACGCCAGTGGCGAAAATGAAGGCGGTGACATTCGTGAGGATGTCGGTGTTGATGGTCAGGAAGATGAAGATGAGAAGGACCTTGCGAAGGCATTCGGTGTGTTTGATTTGAACGGCGATGGCTTCATTTCTAGCGAGGAGTTTGGGAGCGTGCTGAGGAGATTAGGGTTTTGGAGGAGAATAGCAGCCGTGACTGTAGAACCATGATTCGCGTGTTCGACACCAACTTGGACGGCCTGCTCGACTTTCAGGAATTCAAAACCATGATGTTCCAAAATACTATTTCTTAATTAATTCCCGTGCTCCCATTTACAACTTTTTGAAATTTATAGTGTAAGTATTTGCAGCCCCTGCCCAGCACTTCTTTATAATGATAAATGTTTCTTTTTTTTCCAAACGATGTTACTATTCTATTGCAAGTTAAATTTCGAGAAGTGAAAGTGTTTGAATTTGAAACACAATTGGTTGAAGACGAGTACAAATTTTTTTCTTGTTAAACTCTCTCGAGCAAGGTATAGGTTATTAGGTCAGCATCATCCTTCTTCCTCTACCAATTGGTGCTAGTATACATTGGTTGTTGGATGGGATCCATCAGCTTGTGATTTCAACCATCTAAACAATATAATCTACATTTATCAAAATAATATGCCATATAATCTGCACGTCACCGCTAAGTTCTCGTATATATGGTCCCTAGCAAGGCTCCTAGTATCAGAGTAATTGCATGGACATATTAAAATAAGGAAAACTAATGAAAATGACTTCAAAACTTCGAGTTTTAATAAAAAAATTATCCTATAACTTTATTTAATGATAAAGACAAAAGAAAGAAAACTAAAACTAAAAACTAAAAAAACCTAACTAAAGGCACGTGCAAAGAGCACCCAACCAATCATTCAGTTACATAACCCCTTGACATAATCCAAGCATATTTTATTCCTCTACAATTAAAATTTCAAATTGAAGTAGGTTCCGTTCAATTCAGAACCATATATGGGGCGGTATGGTTGGGAGGGAGTCGGTCAGGTGTGGGTTGGGATGGTTGGGGGTAGGGGTGGGGCAACTAGGGATGGGCAACGGTTATGGCGGGTGGGTAACCGTGGTTATTTACCCATAACCGTTTATGTTCATACCCGCATAACTGTTTACCCGTTGGGTAATTGCATAAATGGTTATAACCATATCCATAACCGTTTATAAACGGTTACCATACCCATAACCGTGTATCCATTTAACCATAACCGTTTACCCATTTAATCATAACCATTTACTTGTTTTTGAACCCGTTTATCCTTTTTTTACCCATTTACCCCTTTTTTCACCCGTCTACATGTTTTTTTTTTTTTAACAACTTGAAAATTACAAAAGAAAATTTTGTCATAATTTTCGTTTTCTAACAATTAAACACCGTTATAGGTACATTTTACCATGCATTTCTCTATTTTAATCATTTAAGTCCTCATACAATTCTAATAATTGAAATAATACTTTATGAGCGATATTTTTCTGCTACACCCAAGCAAGTCTTGCAAGTCTTTAACTATAATCCATATGATGGTTGACGACTTGATGTTTACATTTTATTTTCTGTAGAAGAGTTGTTAGTAGAGATGTGGTTGAGAGTGTCAAGCATTTTCTAATATTATTTGTAATTTATTTAGGTTTGTTTAGATCATCAGATAAACTTACAGCCAACTGATGATGATTGGTATCAGATAAACTTGTATCCGAATTGAGTGTTAAATGGTATCATACTAAAAACGTATTATAATCCGCATGACAAGTGCTACGTAGAGAAGTTATACCATGTGCAGAGAGAAGTTACGATACAGAAAGTACAGTACAAAGGGAAAAACGCGAGGTGAAGAAGAGAGCTCTGGATCACCATGTAAGGCGACATTATAATAACCCTAAAACGCTTTGAAAGAACTATAAAACTTGTGTTTTTGCGACGCAATTCATTCTTTGCGTCTAACTTTACACACGCACACGCACAGAGAGAGAGAGAGAGAGAGAGAGAGATTGTGCATTCATTTATTTCAAAACATATTTATGGAAATAAACCTAGAGCTCTTTAAAATTTAGGAGCCTTGTGTTTTCTTCAACTCAACTTACAAAACTATACAACCAGCCGGTTGAGGCAAAAGGAATCACATCCTGAGGCCAACAAAATTGAGGTGTGAGAGATGGCTTCAGCCCGCATTGCTCGAAGTTAATCATCTCCGGATGCACAAATGCATGGTCTAAAAGTGATTCCAAGGGACGCATCAATCTTCCACACGTGTCCTTGGACGATGAACATAGTACCTGAAATCCTTCTTTCTATACCATGAGTTGCCACCCGAGTAAAAGAAACTATATTTGTCTCATTTGTGCTCCCCGTCTCAACTGGGGACTCTCCCAAAGCCGGCTTCAAGGAACCTCTTTGGAGGACAAAATGTTTCCCTCATTAAAATCTTCGAAGGGTGAGGATCCACTAGAAGAATCACTCTCGAATGCAGTGGCCACCCTTGGCGAGGATGGGAGTGAATCCATCTGTTGTGAGGGTGAACCTTACAAAGACAAGAAAAAGGAAAACAAGGTTCAGTTTCAATGTTAAAAGTCATCCAACAATGCCAGAAAACAAGAAGTTGGACATCCTGAGAGTGAACAGGCCAAAGCGCTATGTTATTTTCTACGTCATTGGGGAAGAATAAAAAGGACAAGTGGAAAAAAAAAAAAAAGGTGATGA